ACATACGTAACTTGAGCTCAGCTCGTTTGTCAAAATATAAAATCGAACTTGAGCTCTATGGAGTTGGCCCATTGGTCAAAATATTTAAAGAGCAGTTAATAAAACAATGCATTTTGTCTAGGGAGAAACAGACACGGAGACGGGAAGAACTTCCCGAAGCTTTGCCTAATCAATCGCCTAGATAGCTCGTTGACAAACAAGATATCTGAACGAATGATATCCGTTGAATGAGTCAAGTGGAGGACAACCAATCATCAAACAAATGAGACAGGCGAGTTAGAGACCTTAGAGGCAGTCATAAAAAAAAGTTTGACTGAGAGACTTTCAAACTACCTCAACATGATTCGGCTCATCAGAGCCGAACGAACAAGCATAGGAGTATTGAGCGAAGATTGCAGCAATCAATCAATAATCCACTCGTTGGAGCATCTAAATGTATTGTGCAAAGAATCTTTTGTATAGGGAAAGGGCTTATGGGTAGCTATGTATCCATAAGCACCTTTTCTCTTTCATTTCTCATGCTCTATTCTTTTAGTGTAATTCTCAAACACATTTGGGTTCAACACCCTAAAAGGTGTGTTGAGCGTGGAATCATGTCACCAACAAGAAGAGAAGCACAGTGCAATCGCTATGCAGCCGCCCAAAGAACATGAAACCAAATAGATGTGGATGGTACAAAAGAGATTACATGACAACAAGTAATAGAGATGAAATAGAAGTTGATGCTAAAGATGAGAGAACATATGGTGATTCTATTTTAAGTAGCCCTGGTTAAAGGAGGTGGAAACCCACAAAGCTAGAATTAGTAGGAATATAGTCGCCAAGGGTCCGACCCCTGAGATGGACTAAGGATTAACAATGAGCTAGATGGGTCATTACCCAATGGTCGAAGGTCCAAAACAATAGAAGATGGGGGTGATGACTCCCATTACCAAGATAGTGTCAGATTAGCCATGGTAGAGAAACATCACACCATACAAACCACAACCATCCTCCACGAAGAAAAAACCTTCTCCCGATAAATTTCTTACGCTGACCGCCTGAGAAGATCAAAACCCCAAACCTCGATTCGTACAAAGGCCTCAACAAGTTGACTGACCACATAGCCGCTTTTGAGTCGACATTCGACATATTGAAGATCACTGATGTGTTTTGTTGATCTCTTTTTGGTGAGGTTTATTTCCTCCTCTATAGCTTAGAATCTACCCATAGGATTCTTCTATGACTTTCCTGGAAGGCTAGCATTGGTACCTACATCACTTAAGAAATTCAGACCACCTCTTAGCTGCTTGTAGTCTCATGTGTGTTGGCTTAAAATCTCAATAATTTTTTGAATTGATTGAGACCAACATATTGATCAAGTTGAGTTCTTATATAGTGAAAATGCCTTAAGGAAACCCATTAAGCTTTAAGGGTGTTGAGCCTTACATGCATATCACCATCACAATCCACCCACACTACATACACCCATATATATACACAACACCACCACCACAGATTCACACCACATACTCAAATCAAAATCATTCTCCAACATTAATCCTTCAACCCAAAATTCAAAATCAATTGCACCCCACCCCCCCCCACCCAATTCAAACCCCATCAACTGGCCACAAATTTGATACCTTTATGTGTCGCTCGTTAATATGAACATTCCACATTAATTAACCACAGTCACAATCTTAAATTAAATTGATCATTAATTATACCCAAGCCCACCACCATGAATTTTAAAAGCCCAAAATCAACCCAACATAAAAACTCTTAAAGGCCACCATAGCCAACCTATAAAGCCCACCATGAAATCCAAAATCAAATGAAATCCAAAAGCCCAAATCCACCAAAACCAAGCCCAAGCCCAAGCCCAAGCCCACCCACCAAAACCAAAATTCATTTAAAATTAAATATTGGCTCTCATGTCATGATTTTAACGTCCTCACCATATCAAAGGAACATAAAATATAATATTTCTTAATAAAAATGGAAAATTTGAGTTCATGGAAAATAATTTCAAAAGACCAAAAATTCATCCATACCTCTTTAATGTAAGCCATGTAAGCCATGCTCAAGCCTTAGGCAAGCCATTTGGCTCTACTCAAGCCACAGGCAAGCCAATGAGTCATGCATGAGCTTCATGAAAGACACCATGCCATTTATGGCTAAAGGAGGCCATACTTTCAATACTTCCTGAAAAGTACTTAACCACTCTAATGACTCGCTTAAACCCAAAATTAATCCTTAATCCCCATGGTTTGAGCTGGACCACCAAAGCCCCCATGCTAAACATCAGACCTAGCCCTCTTAAGGGGTGAGCCTAATTCATGTACATGGCCTTGACCGAAAGTCCACCCAAAAGGATAATTCAACCCTTTCCACTTATAGCAAGCACACCTACCCATGAGCCACCCTTATTGGCTTCAACATTCTCCACCACTGGCCTTCCATAGTGAGATGGTGACCACCCAAGGCTCTTCCCTACGAGCTCAAACGCGAGAACCAACCCAAATAAAAAAACCCAAAATTGAACAAAAAATTCAACATTTCCATTAGACTTTAGCCCCCGTAAGAGGTCCAGATAAGCAGCCTTTAGCTAGACAATTAGATCCTTGCTCCTATTCTATGGTTGAGATTATAAATGGGACATGCTCGCGGCCAAAAGGGACAGTGCACAAAGTCTGATGAAGTCTTACCAAATTGATCCCAAGCCCTTTCCACGGTTTTGCAAAGCTCGTCCCCATCATTCCTAGTCTTTCACACCATCCCTAAAATATTAATTTTGCCTTTTGAAATTCAGGGCATTTTTGACCTTGAAATCAACTTCATCAAAACCCCATTTTGAACCTTCCAAAAGCTTCTCCAAAGCCTAAAATTACTTCTCCAATCAAAACCCACCCTTCTTGCGACCTCTAACCTAGAGCTAGACCAAACTCGATCCACCATTTGGTCAAGTTCATACCTAGGATCGTACACAGCTCAAATCAAAGCAAGGAGGAGGTGTGTGGAATTAAGGTGAAGCTTCTCAACCCATCCAATTGAAGTTTCACACCTTGGACTAAGGTATAGACTCAAAACTCATATATTTACCTCGATTTGGAATTTTGTGAAGAGACTCAACAGTTCATGTCCACCTAGCATTATAGATAGATTGGTCTCACCTTGATGATGATGTAGGAACAAACTTCATGTGATGTGGTTGAGAATCTAGCGAGACTTAGGGTTTGAACACAAATGGTTCTCTGGTTAAAGTTCCATGGGGACGATGAGAGGATGTCGTTCATTTTCATGTATTAAAAACAAACAGCGTGGATCAAGTTGGGTGGCTCTAAAGTTTTGGTTAAGACATCACGTGGCGGGTCGAGTTAGCGGCTGAGGTGTAAAGCACAACAAATTAGTGGGCGACGACGCATGGTGCATCGACACGCACATGGTTGATGCGGCGCTGACATGGTTAAATAGGAAATTTGGGTATACTGGAATTAAATAAATCTATAAAATGCATAATAACTTCAAAAATTTATGTATCGGCATGCAAAAAATCACAAAAAATTAAATAGAAATAGCATCAAACTCTGTGGATAGAATAGAAATTTATAAAAACAAAATTAAAAATACTATGTATTTAATTTAAAAAAAATAAATACTCCATAATTTTTTTATTATTTAAATTTAATTATAGAATATTATGACATGAATTTTTGAGAGATGATTTCCTTGATGATTAGAGATGTCCTTTGATTTTTCTAAGGCCAGAAGGTTTCTTTAGCATCAAATGTCTCACTTAACGGTTTGTGTTTCACGTCTAACTTACGGGTCTGCGCTCGCATGTCACTCATTGCCTTAAGAAAGACACTCTTATCAGAAGGTGGGACTCATTCGTTAAACATCGCGGAGAATAGGTAGAGAGAAGGACACATGACAAAGGAATCTAAAGAAGATGAAGTTGTGCAGATTTCCCTTGCCCCAAAACCTATTTTATAATGGTTGGTGAGTGAAAATCTAGGGAAGTCCATTATTGTGCAATAATATTGTTTATTTATTTATTCATTTACACGTGATCAACATATTCTCCTGTCCTCATGTGTTAGATAGCTTCCAAGGAGCAAGAGAATCAGAACTAAATATGTACACATAAAAATGTGTCTGCACCAATTTAAAAGCAGATGGGTAATCCAGAAAAGAAGTACGACTGATTGGATGAAGCAATAGACAATTATTTCCAGATAAGCGACGATCGAAATTCCTCGCCTAAGTAATTGACAGAAGACAACAAATAGAAGTCCCTCATGTAGCTATTAGCTTGTGGAACGGTCAATGGGGAGAACTCCTCTGGGTCATGAATTGATCAAACCAAGATCTGTGAAATGATTAGTGGCCTTTATCATTCGAATGGGTCCTAAGTTTTGTTCTATGCAAATAATCTTGTAAATTACCAAAAATTCCCCTTGAAATGTTAACGATTAGGGGGCGGACCTCTATTTTCATCATGTTGGGATCTTGACCTATAAATATGGGTCTATATTACGAGTAAAAGGATTTTTTTTGGTTGGTTTACTATTGCTCATTCACTTACACTCTCTCTTAATTATCTCCTAATAGAACATTTCATTTCTTGGGCAGGTTTCCCATACAATTTTAGATTCAACAGTTAAAAAAATACACTTGTCATCATTTATTTTAACATTAATAAAGCTTTATTAAATAAAAAATAATAATAAAGAAGATTTACAAAAATATCTCTCAATTCTTATGTATTTACATATTCAGGTCTTACACTTCAATTTTTACATAGTTTTGCATAAAAATGTGTATTTTTTTAAATTAAAATGATCATATTTTGATGTGATATGAAATTGAGTGATATAATTATAAATAATAAAATTTAGGTGATATAAATAGAAAAAATAAAATTTAGGTCATATAAATACATTGGCCTAATAATATGTATGATAATTAGCAACTCTTAAAAAGTTTATAACAAATAGGACTTTCGGACCCTATAATCGAAGAATGAAGAAGTAGACATGTTATTCGCTCCTGCCTCGCCTGACACAAGTGTTCCCCGTAATCCCCGTTTCGGACCGGGTTACAAGAGAAAATTCTTGCGTGGAAGCCATTGCAGCTCTTCTGGATCCATTTGCCAAGATATAACATCATTCCTGTGCTCTACCGCTCCTGCCGGCGGTCGGAGATAAAAATTCCATCTCTGTTCGTTCGGACGGCATCAAGAGAGTTTTGGCGACGTTAGATCTGTAGAAGGATAACTCTCAGCTTCTTATGGAGGGAGCCTCTGGCGACGGCTTGGGTGCTTCCAATTCCCTGGAGAAATGGAAGACCAATTTCTCCCGAACATTCCAGCATTATCTCGATCGGTCTACCCCTCATCCCGTGGGAAGATGGCTGGGGGCTCTCGGCGTTGCTTTGATTTATCTATTGCGGGTTTATTTGATTCAGGGTTTCTACATCGTCACCTACGGGCTCGGGATCTATTTGCTTAACCTTCTTATTGGGTTCCTATCTCCGATTGCGGATCCCGAGATTGAGGGCTTGGATGGAGCGTCGCTTCCCACCAGGGGTTCGGATGAATTCAAGCCATTCATTCGGCGCCTTCCAGAGTTCAAGTTCTGGTAACTTTACTTTTGCCATTTTATCTTGGTTCTTGCTTTTTAGGATCTCTTTTATCATGCATGCTGGCGACCATTTTTTATGTTTTATATTTTTGTAGATTTAAAATTTATAAATGGATTGTTATACATATATCTTCTTATGCTCAGAGATTCAAGAAAGATCGTGTTAATAGGTGTGCATGGAAAAGCATTTGTTTAGGTTTTTCCCACTTCATTAAAAGTGCAAGTACTGGATATTCTGACTTACTGGATAGATTACACATGATGTGGTGGCAATAGTATGAAATGATTAACCAAATCAATTTGTGCTTTTTTAATTAAAATATTGGCAGCTTGGCAACTGTGTTTGTTATTATCTGATTATTTAGTCCACATGTTGTAGAATCGAAAGGCTAGATGTTTTCCACTTTAGTACTTGTATTTAACTCAAAAGTTGCGAACAGTGATGATTGGTGAGGGGCATTGAATAGTATGTCTGCTACAAAAATGGTTTGCGTATTCTTTGCCAAACTATATAATGGTAGGTGTCTGTGACAATACAGTCCTTGGATAAGCATTAAGAGCAAAGAAAAGATTTTCATTTGATTTTATTGACCTTAAGAAGCCATAGGATGCCAAGAACATAGTTTCATTTGATTTTATTTACATTGCAACTAAACACACCAACATTGGGGGCATTCTTAGCAAAAAAATTCCCCCAAGTAATATATCATTTAGTGGGAAATCCTCTAGTACCCTATTATATCTAGAACCCAAGTCCCTATTGTTTGTCTCATTTCTTTCTCTCTGCTTTCTATAACAACCATTGCCCTCTTTTGTTTCCCCTATTTCATCTTCTTTTCTCCCCCCTTGTTGTCCTAATTTGCTCTCAGCAGCTCATCTCTTTCGTAGATTTGAAAGTACGTCACATCCTCAACCCTTTACATGCTTCAATTTTGAATTTCATACATCGATTTTTTAATTCTTTTGATTTAAACTTTATTTTGACATATTTTTTGTTAGACTATTACATGTTTATGTTCTTTTATGCTTGATCTATCTTATGATTTTTTATTAGTTATATGGTTTTTAGATCCGTATTAGATCTATATTTTTTCTAATAATAAATCATGTTTTTTTACATATATAATTTTTTTTAGATCTACATAAATTTATTTATATATTAATTTTTGCTAATTAAATTTTAAATATTCCAGATTAAAGAATTTTTAATGCATGCATGCAATTTATTTAGTTGAACGAATTATGCATGATAGAATACAAAACAAACAAAAGCATACAAATAAATAGTGTTTGCGTTTGCTAGGCCTACAATTTATAGACGAAGTTGAATAGACTCCTTATAGAGGTGCTTAACAATCTTATAATTATTATGTGTGACTTAGCAATATTTATAATATGACTGCACTAAAAACTCTTAACCATTTTGTGTTGTGAGAATGCTCAGTATTAAAAGAGATTTTAACATGCAACATAAATGTTTCAATTTGTTTGTTAGATAGTTAAAAGAAACCCAATATATAATTTAATGTCTACTGATTTGTAGATTAAAAAGAAAATTGTATCCAAATGTAGACAATAAGAATACACAATTACAGTAATGGTTGTAAGTTTCATTATAAGGATGATATGACCCAAATTAAAAACAAACACTATGCAATTCCTAGGTTTAAACTTCAAATTATATAATAGTATTAATAGAAGGATGTCCCATTTCCTTTGTTATTTTATTGACCTTCAATTTTTATGGCTAAAAAATTATTTTATTCATGAATTTTGCTAGACATATGAAATGGTGCTAAGAGAGAATAGGTGAAACAGTTATTTTGAGTCACCCACTAGATGTTAAAATATGGAAGCATTTTAATAGCACTTATCTAAAGTTTGCTTCAGAATTACAAAATCCTTTACTTGCCTTTTGTGCTAGTTCGCTTATAGTTAAGCCTTCTTACTATATTTATGTTAGCCAATAATAATCATGCATTATAATCTTTCTCATGAAACGTGTGTGACAACTGTTTTTGTATTTCACAAGCTTATTATTCCTGCTCTACAAAATTCAAATGAAGGAATATATGTATAGTTGCTATCACTAATAGTTATGTTGAAAATCTTATGGAAAATGTATTTGATAGATATGTTGAAAATTTTATGGAAAGAAGCTATGCTTATGTATGTTTTTTTTTTATAAAGCAAAATTTTTAGATGAAGCACTGCTCATATGAACTAGAGATTTTCTAGCATATGATACGTTAAGGGTAAGCATCATGAAAAAATTTAATTATCCCATCTGTATGGATTATCGAGAGCATTCATGATGAAAAGTGGTGAAAAAATCATGTTTTAATTGTATATTTTTTTTAACCATTGATTTTGCATTTAGAAGAAAAAATACATTCTTTAAAGGAGAGATGAAATTTATTCCCCTATCTATTAAGAGATGATTGTCTTAACTTATACATTGTTTTTTATCTACTACTCTCTAACTTATATGAAGTTATCTTCTAACATCATCTACCTAGTATCTCTATTATGATACCTATAACTATTTATCGAATAAGTTCAAGTTTGCTATCTAATTTCTTTAACACTGTATAAGGAGTTAGCTCCAATGTGTTCAAGTATTTCGTATCTACAGTAAAATATAAAGAAAAGGAAGAGAGCATGGAAGGGCTTTCAATTGTACTAAGAAGTTCTTAAGTAGATAGGAGAAAAGAAAGAAATTTTGTTGTTGAGAAGGGAAGATGAAAATAGTAGTAGTGGTAACCTATTTTTTTTCCAATTTGACTTTCATTTTGATAACAAGTTACTGTGCATCCTCTTAGTCATCGACATGGAGAAAGTGATTTCTTTATTCTTATCATCTTTTGTATTAAAAAAAAAAGTTGATATAATCTTCTTTTAAAACTCAGGGGAATACTTAATTTCTGTGTAGTTCTGCACATATGTGATTATTATTGAATCACGTAAACTTGTGTGTTTTATAATTGTGATATTTTGTATGTTTGTTTTTTTATCTTAATTTGATTTTTTTGGAAGTTTTGTCATTATCTTAATCATTAATATCAGGGATTTTGGCTAAGCTTCACAAGAAATTTAATTAATGAAATATGGAAAGATCAAAATAGATATTTTGATAGCCGAGAATTTGCCTATCAGAAGAAGCAAATGAAATTTATCTTTACCAATGAATGGATCAAAACTATTGATTATGATTAGTGGAAGTTGATGGATAGATAAGTCCTAGGATTTATTCATTGTTCTTAATTAAAAATATTTTCTTCTGCACTCTCAATAAAAAGACAACAATTGGCATAATGAAGGCAATGTTAGATATTTATGAGAAGATATTTGTTGTTAGAAAAGTAAAATATAAAATTTTTTTATCTCAATATGTCTAATTGAGCATTTATTGTTGAGCACATCAACATGTTCTCCTATATCAAAAATTAGTTGCGCTCAATGGACATTAATTTTAATGATGAAATTTGTGCCTTGAATTTATTTTTATAACAACAACAACAAGCCTTTATCCTACTAAGTGGGGTCAGCTACATGAATCTTTTTTTCTCCATTGATTACTATTGAGTGTCATATTTTCATTTAATTCTAATAAATTAAAATTATTTTTTATACAATATGCCCAAGTTTTTTTAGGTCTACCTTTGCCTTTTTTAACATAAGTTGAATCTAAAACATCTACTCTCCTAACAGGATCATCAGATGGTCGACATTTAATGTGACCAAACAAACCATCTAAGGCGACTCTTTCTAATCTTGTCTGCCACTGGAGCTACACCAACGCTATAACTGATATATTCATTTTGCATTTTGTCTCTAAGTGTCAAGCCACTCATCCACCTAAGCATCCTCATCTCACAACACTTAACTACTATTTTTATAAAAAAAATTAAATTAAATTAAATGATATAAGAGAGTTCCTCCTTAATGGAGATATTCGATGGCATGAGATTGGTCAAACTCCTTTTGCTCTGAATATTGATAATTGAAGTCATCTCAAAACAAAAGTAATAATCAAGGCTAAGGTGGATCCCAGTTGCATAATAAGAACCAATGTATATATTATAACAAAAGGAAAATTTGAGGCCACTTGGATAGATGCTATCATTATGAAAAACTAGGATATGTGATGAATGACCGCCAAAAAAAAAAAAGCACTAGTTCAAGAGGAAACAAAAAAGTAAATGTTACTATGACGAATTTTAAGTTGCATTTATTTATATTATTGATAGTCTTATGGAATTATGGATATTGTACTCGGTTACTATTATTTCATTCTTCTTCTTTTAAAGAACTAATAATAATCTAGTAAGCAGGTAATTATAGCAAAATATTTCTTACTAGCAACAGACCTATAGATATCACTGGCATTGCTGATGTGACATCACAAATCATAAATTGATTCACATGGAAGCTGAGAAAGACCAAACATATTTTTGACTGAAGGAGAAATTTGATTTCTATAGGACAATTTGCAGTGAAATAAATGATGTAATTCCACTTTGAAAGTGAATAAGTTTGTACTTTCCTGATGCAAAAGTTGAGAATCATGTCATTGAAAATGATAATTAATGATCGAGTAGTCATCATGGTAATTAAGGTTGGTCTTCTATAAGAGTTTTTATGGTTTCTCGATTTGTGTATAAATTGATTTTATTGGACATGATGCATAATTTTTAGCATATATCACTTTTGATTATTGGATTGATAGTTTACTTTTGGCCTCTTACGACAATTACTCCATAGATTATGGATAAAATGAACCAAAATAGTGAGGATTTACACCGTTAGATGTGTATTATTTGACTCATGGTATGATAGAATTATGCATTTTATTTTATCTTTAAGATAGAATTACAAAGTGTTATGTAATGCAAAGAAACTTCGCCTCTCAAATTGTTCGTCCATTTACCTTGTTTTGTGTACCACATATTCATCTTCATCTTCAGCATATGGCCCTCATGCTAAGTATTTAGTAT